TCGCCACAGGGTCTCTGCCTTCAGATAATTCGTGGTACCACCCCGATTCCCACTTCTTCCTTGTACCCATCATTTGGGCCGTGGTCAATCTTGCTTCCCTCTTTTTCTTTCCCGCCGAAATCACCAAATATTTCCGACTGCGGAAACGAAGCCTTCGATCAAAAAAAAACTCGCATCCCACTGCTCCTGGGAACGTCGATGCGACAAATATTCAACTGCTCCCTCTCTCCCAAGCCATAACTCCGGACGGCCTGCAGGAAGATGATCCCTTGATTCGACCCCAATCTCCGGGGAAGAAACTACTTCCCTCTGGGTTAATAGATGTGTACTACGACAAGGGCGCGCTCCAAGCTCTTTACACTCCCTATACCCTATGGTTTTCTTTCGGCTTTGGCCTCCTGTTGATTATTTCTGGTGTTGCTGTCCGCATTATCAGCGGCCGCGGTATCGTCGGCGGGGCCACTGATATTCTAAAACTCGCCAATCGACCACCTTACGATGAGGCACGGCGCGACGGCTGGGTGGCCGCCAACATGACGTCCACCCAGCGTACCATATTCAGCATCTGCATTACAACAATCTTGACGCTTGTCAACAGCTTCATCTCTGGACCACGCGCAACGCTTTTGAAATGGGCACTCGCCCGAGAGGGACGACTGGAATTCAACTCTAGCTCGAATTTTTTCATCACCTCGGGAGGCCCGTTTTCTTCCACAGGCATTCTTGCGACGAGTGTATATGCTGTGGCCACAGTCTTCACATTTGCCTCCGCCGCGTTCATTACCGTCACCTTTGATCTGCGAGACAACATCGACTTTGAAGGCGCCGACAACCGTCACCTCCTCTTCTCCGACCGCTACTATGTGATCTTTCACTACGTTCCTCTCGTTATCACCGGTCTCTGCGTCTCTCTCCAGGCGCTGATCACTTTGGCCTCCTACCGAGCTTATACTGTTCCCACCTGGAGCGGTCAGCCGTTTGACGTCGCCGCCGCAGCCTTCGCCAATGGGATGGTATCCCGCACCGAGGGGCGTTGCCTCGCAGATGTCAATGGAGCAAGCCCAGGCGCTGCCCTCCCATTGCGCCCTTCGCGCAAGCACCCCAGCCTCTCAGATGTTCGTCCCGCGTTGAGCATGATCCCCCCCGCCGGTATCCTGCTTGGGACCTTCATCTTCGCACTTACCTTCAGCAATACCCTCGATCCGAACCACATCTTCACCGGCCCCACCGATCTCGCAGCTGCGTCGATTTCGTTCACCAACGGCGGGCTGGCGCTGGCGTTGCTGGCCGCGTTCCAGGCGCCGCTCACGATACTGTTCCACGCCCTTGACGTTGCCGAGGGCGTCATCGAGGACGAGCAGGTGTGGCGTCGTGCTGCGATGTTGAAGGGATACCACCCGAAGGCCGGGCTCGCGGGTCTACGTCCCAGCGGGCGCGTGGTGCTTGTGTTTGGCTCGAAGGTGGGTACTCAATGGTTGTATTCGAACGGCATCACCTTTGTCGTTGGCGCGTTCCCTGTGCGAGGGCCTCTCTCTGGAAGCGATGGAATCCATACCGTCTGGCGCATTGGGCAGGCGGTGACCTTTGTGTCCTTTTATCTTGTGAGATATTTTCCTTGTGTCGTATTCACTGTGGTTGACGAGCCATCTCAGTACGCCGCAGGCGGGTATCTCACCGTCATGTCCATGATATATCGAACCATGGGCCACTTGGGGAGATCGCGGACGTTCCAACCCGCGACATTCGGTCACATCCAGACATTGGTGAACGCCATTGATGATTGGTCCGAAGTGATGTATTGGGGACACAAGGTTGGTGGGGATGTGTGCCATGCTGGTACGTCTCCGTTGTATAATGCTGCCCTGAGTTGATGTTTTGGCCTGCGGCAGGTACGAGTCCACATCCTTTGCGTCCGTTACAACCAAAATCCGTCTACATGTAGAGCCTGAGGATGTAAGTGAATAATTAACCACCACCTACCTTCCATGGCCGCTACAGGTATCCCCAATTCAAACATGCCAGCTCCGGTTCTGTCGCGTAAAGAGGGACAGCGTCGGGTAAACACGGCCAAAAACACGGCGATGGGCAGTAATTAATTCCGCACCTTTTAATTATTGTAATTGTCAAAAATTCAAACTCAAAAGGTCACCGCACAGTCGATTTTCCCACTTGGAACGGCAATCCCCATGGCCATAGACTTGGGGCTTTGCCAGTGAATCGAGGTTCTCTTCAACAATTCTGAGCTTGCTAGGTTCTGCGCGAAAATAGAACCCATTAGACGCTGTGCGTCCCTCGAGTGAGGAGAAACATCGGGCTCGCCACGTAGCATGGGAGGATGGTTGCCCGGACTGTCAATATTCTCACTGACGACGCCACTGACGCTGGCGGAATGAAGGATTGAACTCAATTTAACCCTCTCCTTTCCGGACCTGGCAGAGATCTGGGCTGGGTGGATTATTGGTTTGTCAGGCCGCGGCAGGGAACGACAGTATTAGGATGAGTGTAGGGCAACATGGAACCGGTTGAATGCGGACTCGGATGCTGCAAGCGCTTACAAGGCGTTTACAGTCAGCAATTTCCGAATCGGGATATCCTCCTGACAGTTTGCTTCCATGATGCCCTTTCGCCGGCATAAAATCTGGTTCCCCTCTGAGTTGTCAGCGTTCCTCACCCTTATGCCTCCATGTCGAGCCCAAATCCCGAAGAGCCACCGACTCCTACAGGCCTGAGGGCGCAGTTTCATCACCTCCTTCCTCGCCATGCTCTTTTCCAAGTACGGATTCACATCCACCAGCTCGCCAGCGTACCGCTGGTCCACGGCCAATTCGGCGTCAAATGGAAGTTCAAGAACACCCAGAAAGTAAAGGGAAAGAGCAAGAGCAGGGGTCCTGGGCCAGAGCCCGACGGCGATGGGGATAGCTTTGGCAGCGGCGATACGAGTCCTGCCGGTGAAGCAAGCCCCCCGGACCCGCCCCCCCCTCTCCTTGGGGCGCAATCCCGTAGCCAGTCTGCCTCAGACTCTGGGATTTTCGATGCCGATTATGAGCAGGATGCTACTTCGACGCGCGGTCAAACCCCATGGCTCCCTCTACTTGACCACTCAGTGTCGTGGGATCAGTCACTCTCGGCCGTCGTGCAGATGTCAATCGACCGCGACACCCAACGTCTCCTCCCCCATCCTTTCAAACTGAAAGTCATGCAGAGGGTCATCGCGGGCGACCTTGATGCGCCGCACAACCCCCAACTTGGTGTCGTCGAGCTCAATCTGGCAGAGTATGTCGACAGTGTTCCTCTGTCGACAGCAGCGACTGGAAGCGTCCCCAGTAAGTTTATTGTCCCTCGGCGCCTTCACATTTAATGACGAATCCCTTCAAAAGGTAAAGGCGTCGTCACCCGTCGCTATCTGCTCAGCGATAGCAAGACGAATGCTACCCTCCGTCTCTCTATCCGCGTTGAGCCCTTAGGCGCGTCTCCGCCGTTCACTGCCCCTCCTTTGCCAAACGGCGAGATTCTCGCTGGCGTCTCATCCTTTCTTTCAACCCAAGAAGACGTGTACCGCACTCGCCCCCGGGCGTTAGACCTATACGCGCCGGTGGAGCCGAGTCCACATAGAACGCCCCTCTTTGACGTTCGCGCCCTCCCCCTCGCCTACGGCCCGCGCCCCACCGAGTCCCTCATCGACGCGCTCTTCAACCCCGCACCCGTGCACGACGAGCGTCTTGTCAGCCCGTTCACGCGGCTGGTGCCCGACGGGTCCGACTCATTCCTCTCGGCGTCGTACTCTGCTTCTTCGGGGGCGTCGTTCCTCAGCGAGAGCACGTCCAGTGCGGACACCGCTTCGGTTTACAGCGCTCATGGCTCCTTGGTGCCGAGCTCGAGCGGGGCAAATCTCAGTCCCGGGGGTGCAGAAGGCCGCGCCCATCGCTGGTGGCAGCGTAACAATCGCGATCGGAGCCGGAGCAGGAGCAGGAGTCGCGCGCCGTCTGTCGCGGTGGCATAGTTGACCACACACACCGGCGCTGTATACGTCAGTTTTCAGGTTCTGCCTCCATATACACTATCCTTCAGCTATTATTATTCCACCATTTGCATATCCTTCCCTCCAAGCGTACACACATATCGTAGTCAGTCCTGTAACATACTTAGACGAGCCAGCCATTTATTGTAGAACTGGATGAAGATTCATTCCCTTGTGATGAATTATTGCGCCGCAATTCACGATCGGGCGGATGTGATCGGTCGATCGTCGATCACACAAAAACTTTATTTCCTTCCACCATTTGTCCACCATCTCAAATAACTCGACGTTGCTCATACCCTGCCTCGTTCATCCACCACCTTCCCGCTCTTCAGTCCCTGGATTGACATCACTCTGAATCTGCCACTTCGCGTCCTGACTGGTGATACCTGGTCATTGGCACTCATTTAACTCTCGGCGCTGCCTTTGACATTCTGGCGCCACGCCCACAGTCGCGTTCTAGCATATCTCGGGCGCTCACCTGTCTGCTGCCTGGGTTACCGTCGACACTCTTGCTTTTCCATCGTTCTCGGACTCTACTTAACGCCTCCAAAAAACTCGCAAATGCCAAAAGTCGGCGCGCGGAAAAAGACGAGTGGGCAATATTAGTCCTCCTGCGAGTGGGATCCTGACATCGATGCCCATAGCACCAGTAGTGTAGCGGTACCGTTGGTTCTTCTTTGAATGCAAAGCGCAAAGGGTACTCTGGGGGGGAAAATCGGGATATCGCAAAAGTCGGAGTGAGAGTGCTTTCATCCTTCTCCGGCTCTCCCTCGCGCTACCTCCGGCGCATCAGTGGCATAGCGGTAGCGTTGGCGCTTCGGAGTCTTCCACCGGACTAAAACAGCGCGCGACGTTGTCACGTCGATTTTGGTCGAAAAAAGCAAAGTCGTTTTGAACTTTGAAGTCGTTGCGTAAATCGGACTTCGTGCATTTATCCCTCTCCCCTTATATGGTATCCCGTCGTCAGCGTTGTTGCATAGCATCAGTGGTGTAGCGGTAACATTGGGTCTTCCCATGTCTTTGTTCGACGTGTAATGAGGCTTGGCCTAGCTCCGGGTTCGACTCCCGGCTGATGCATGTATCGAAATTGTCTAGCGGCAACTCCCTTTTTGTTGCTTTCCTTCTACCCGATTAACCTTGTCTGACCTGGGCTTCTCCTTAGGTTCTTCGAGTCTTTCCCGCGCCAGAACCCTGTCCGTTGTATTGGGATCAAGGTGGAAGTAAACTTACCTCCGAAGGTCAGAGACGATTTAATTACCTTGCTAAATTGCACGTCCCAATCCTTCTCCACCCGACTTTCATAAGAGTCGTACAATGTTAGATGATTCAGATGCAATCGTCAAAGTAAGACGACTCAGTACGCTACCGCTACCGACGGGAACTGGTTGCACGTCTATCCTCCCTCCGAGCAGCTGAATCTAACACGAATCTACCTAGGCTTAGGTTGAGGAGACGAACCGGGTTCGTCGACGATACAGAAGCCTCGAACTTTGAAGAAATACAGCATTGCAGTTGGCAGTTCAAAGGCAAGATAACATTTCTGGCCTAATTTATGGATGGTCTCTCGATATTCCCCGGATATCATTGTATCCCGGCCCTTCAGTCTCTTTCACAAGGTGTGTCGACGTGATTAATTCCCAAGTTAGCGCTTTTAGCAGAATCTCTTACGGACCTGCGCAACCGTTAAGAAACCTTAACTTGAACTTCGGTGTAAGTCAGGTGCGGATTTGATTGTACCGTCTCTACAAGCCCCGTGTTGTGAAATTCCCTTCGAGTTTGCTACAGCCAAGAGAACCACGAATGGTCCAACAAACACAAGATATCAATTTTTTACTGGAATCGTAACAAAACAAGGATCAGGCTGACTTCTCGAACCAAACCTCAGCTCTCTCCTTCACCGACTCGCCTTTGGGGCTTTCAACGCCCGCACCAGCGCCCCACGAACCCCGGAGCCCCACTCCCAATTTTCCCTCGACTGCGAACTCGCCGACGAAGCCTGGATGTGTCTCGGCCTGCACCCACGGTTTAGAGTCTGAAGTATTTCCAGTCGGCTAGAACGAAATATGAGTGTGGTCAAGAATGAGTGGAAACATGGCTTCAAACGAACAATAACAAACAGTCCGGTGGCATTAAAAAGGTTGTGTTCGAAATGGGTCAGGGCTACATGCGACACCCCGAACCCATTCCAGTTCGCCAATAACGTGGGTAGATGAGAATCGAGTGGGAGGTGGCGGAAATCGTCCATGAGCTGGCGACACGGCTTCGACGCCGGTTCAGTTATGTCGCCGGGAGCAACGAGGCATAAGTGAAGGCTGCCGTATCCAGGATGTTGGTACGTTCCAGCCAGATCGTTAAATGAGAAAGAGGGTAACGTGGGGTTTGTTGGCCGGGGTGTGGGTACAATACGACCTTTGAAACCTGCGACAACGAGAGATTTGAATCTGTCGATAAATTGCATAGAGCGTTAGAAATTTCGAACTCTGGTTCGCTGCTTCTGCACCTTTCGGTCCAGTCGATCACTTGAAGATTTAAAACTGCATCGATGATGCGAAATTTGATAGCCTCCACTATTTCAAAACCAAAGGCCTCGTCATTCGAGAGAACCGCGACACCGAAGTTCTGACTGGGAATCCGTGTAATTTGGGATTTGAACCCTGAACAGCGAGGATATTAGCTCGGCGGGCTATGTAGATTATGAGAACCTTACCCTGGACAGAGCCGCCATGCTATCCGGCTTATATCAATTGCCAGAGATCAAGAACTAGTGAAAAGGGACTCGCCTCGATGAATTCTAACATCGAATTGAATTTAACAAAGCCTGTAGGCCCATCATTGAACACTCACCGAAACCACGGTAAGTGCCACGAGACTGCCCCCCGCCGTAAACCATGGGGGAACCTTCCGGAAATTGGCTAATGAGGACGGTCGTCAGTCACTTTACAAAGATAGAATGGGGAGAGATTTACGCGACGGGTGAGGCGACAGTAACCCCAGAAGAAACCCGACGAATGACTTCCGCCGGGATGACAGTTCCCCCGTCAATGGGGTTTCGACCGTCGTCCAACAGAGTCTGAAGCCAAGTGGCCTGATGTACTTTATGAGATATTGGATTCAAATATTAAGATGAAACACACCATATCGTTTGCGTTAGATATTACACCGCCAGCACCGGAGATCACTTGATAAGAATGGATTACTTGATTCAATGTGAAGAATCGGCTCATATCTACCATGTCCAGGTTTGCCTTCGTTTGGAGCCCAAAAGGGATACGCTCGAACTTGACCCTGACCGAACACATCTTCGGTTTGGTTTACACCATCTCTTCCAAAACCATCTGCAAGGTGCCCACTCTCCTCTGCGGCTTTCGAGTAGTAAGTCGTGGCGTCCATGCCGAGGGGCGCAAGAATAAATTTGTTCACGTATGTTTCAAATGGGACTCCGGCAAGCAGTGGCGGGAAATAAGACAGAAGCGAGTACATGTGGTTGTTATATTGCCACAGTTCGCGAAAACCCGTGGAAGGCTTCAGATATCGTAGACGCCCAATCTGTCTTTGCTCAGAAGCGCAAGTTCACCGAGGTCGACCTGACGTACCACATCTGCCACAGTTCCATGTTGCAGGATGAAGTCATGTCGAGGTAGGCCAGTGCGATGGCTCATAACGTCCACAATGGTGCTCTCGGACGACGCTACGGAATCCATTAGCCCCCATTCTGGTACAAAAGAGGCTATCTTCGTGTCCCAAGAAATACGGGGGGACAAACTCTCGTTGGAAATCAGCAGTCCTGTTGCCAATATATCGAACAGCTGTTTGTTGCGGGAGTGAGTAGAATTAAATTTCAGGTAGGGAGTGCCTGCCTTTGAATTGGACCCAATGCCAAACAGGGTTTCGCTCGTCACCTTTGTCCCGTCGACCTTGGCGACACCATACCCTTTTGTCTCAACCATCCATCCGTCCTCGCGGCTCTTCTGCACAACAGCAACCCCGGCCCCTCCAGGCGACTTGAAATCCTTCAAAATCGAGTTGATGGCCGCGTCGACGTTGGCGTTCAATAGTTTCGCCACGCCTGCGTCCTCAGAGAGCTTGAATGGCTGTTGTACCTGGGCCCCGGCGCAAACGACGGCAGCAGTAATCCACAGAGGTGTAGCTCGAAGGAGGAAATGCATGAGACTCTGAGAGGGGAAATGTCCACACTGCGCGCCAGTTAAAGGACTGCGCGACTGGGCCGCAGCACAGGAAGATCGTTTGACAGTTTGTTCTCACGGTTCAAACGGAAGTTTACATGTAATTCTCAACTTGAATTTGGAACCCAGGGTTCCAGGAATACAACTCAAAAAATTGTTGCTCCGTGTTTAATGTGCGTCTCAGTATCCAACATGCCTGTAATTTCGGGCGGAAGAGAGATGGGTGATCTTCAGAAAGGCAAAATTGTTCCCACGGTTCTGAATCAAACTTGACAAATGTCACAGTTCAAAATTTCACATCTGCGCCTCAAGCACCTGATCTTCAACCCACATTTTTGGAGTATATTAACGTTGCAGAGGCCGTGTAGAACGTGGTGGTTAATTGAGGGAACGTGGTGGTCAGAGAACGAAGAAGGCTGATGACGGCAACAGCCACATGTTTGAACTGACGAACTTTCATAGCGGGAATCTGAACTGACGAAAGTTCGCAACCAGCAGGCCCAAGTGGCAAAAAATCCCTTAAATATGCTTAATTTACATGAGGTGACTAACTTTCACAAGTTTAGCCGAACTGACGAAGTGACGAGGGTGGTATGGACTCGTCTGGTTGTGACCTCGAAAATATCATGAAAATGCACTTGGCTTCGATTCTTTTGGATTCAAGGTCTGTGCGCTTCACTTATCCATTGTTATCATTTATACAAGTATTGACATGGCCTCACAGATGAATTCAATTCGGCTTGGCTTCAACACTTTGAATTGAAGCATCTCAGTAACACTGCGGCGGGCGCCACTGCATATTCATCTCCAGGATTGGCTTCATCTGTCTCCGAATCGAACTTACTTACCCCTGCTGATCTGACCGCGCCATCAACCACCCACCTTCAATACATATCAAGAGGCTCGAAGCTTGCTTCGAGATCTTCTTGGCGGTAGGTATGGTCCTAAACCGCTTTCCACCCACCTGGATTGACTCTTATCCACACCGTGGTGTGGAAACCATTGTCGAATTGACCTGGCTTCGAAGTTTTGGTTCAAGGTGTGTAATCCTATCGTTCTATCGTTTGGAATCATGTGAATGCTGACCTGGGCTTCCACTTGGATGCCCTCAAGTAACACCACGGTTACCTCGAACTCACATTGCTTCAAGTTTACGTCCTTGGTATGCTCCTTTTCATTTCACAATTCTTCGAGTCTTACTTGTCGTCAGGAACTGGATCGACTATGGCTTACCTACCCTAAATCGTCGCCCAGACTTTGACCGACTTATTACGGCCTTCAAGAACCTCGAGTTTTCGTCAAGATTTTCTTGATACAAAGCTCTCCCGTGGTACAAATTATCTTAGGCATTCGTCGATTGCCTATATTCTATTACTGACCTCCAATTTATCAGCTCAACGTCTCATTGACCCCGAACATCGGCAATTTTTCCCCGAATGCCGACTAACTAGCTTGGCCCTCGCAGAAAGTCTAACCCGCCCGGACACGGAAATTATTGTCAAAATCTTCCCAAATCAAGTCCTGGGGTGCCTCAAGGAATCGTACTCATCACTGGTTGACAATTTCAAGTTTCTCCGTAAAAAAACTGGTGAAAAATGTTTTGAAGTTCACACCAATCTTTCCAGCAAAAATTGAGTGAAAAACTCAGAACTTGTGTATGAATTCTTTGAACTCCAAAACAAATTCACCACTTTTTCAAAAGGAATCCACAAGATTCAAAAAAGTCACCAGAAAACTTCAAGTTTTTCACTTGATTTTTCCTGGAAAGAATGGTGTAAACTTCAAACATTTTTTACTAGTTTCTTCACCGAAAAAGTTGAAATCTTCAACCAGTGCATCGTAAGGTACTTTCAATATCCATTGACTTATCACTGATCTTTCATCAATTTATCT